ATATAATTTTTGTACTTTTTTTTGAATAATTATTTTTATATTTATGAAAATTTTATTAATTTTTTTAATCTTTGATAAATTTAAAATTTCTTCTTAAGAATTTTATCTTTTAAATTTAAGGTTTTTGATATATAAATTTTTTAGACTATACGATAAAAGTATTATTTAAAAATAAATTAAATTAAATTTATTTAATTTTATTAAATCTTATCATTTTGATACATACTATTAACCGTTATTAAAATTAAGTCAATTTTTTTTAAAATTTATTTAAAATAATTTTATTATACATTATTTAAAAGTATAAAATTTTATTCTTTAGGTTATATATTTATTCTAAAACCCTAAAAATAATTATATATATATTTATTCTAAAATAAAATGTCTATTGCAATAATTCGTATTGAGGTTATTCCTTTTAATAGTGGTTTTATATTGTTGGTTTCCGTAAATATATATTAAACTTAACGATGCTAATAAAAATACTGAACGATTGAACTATGGAAACAATTTAATCGAAAATAAAATTCATTAAATTAAAAAAAATGTAATTTTCAAGGATGTTGGTTTAGTCTGCCATTGAATATAAATTATTAAGGGCCAGTTTAGTGATGAAGATAGAATCAAAATGAATAAGACAAGAGAGTTTAATGAGAATAGAATAGAATAAGAGTATGATAAGCTTATATTATATTTAATGTTTCATGTATATTTAATAAAAAAAATAATATAAATATATAAAAATGATAAAATTACGTTTTTATTAATATTTATTAAATCAAATTTTAATTTTTTACTCTGTATAAGTTATTTATTTTTATATTATAAAAAATATAAAAATAATTTAATATATTTTTAAAAATATATTAAAATAGAGAAGAGGAAAAAGAGAAAAAAAAGAGAAAGGTAACAAAATAAATTAAAGCTATTTTGGAGAAAACAAATGCTATAATTTCTTTTCTTTCATCTTCCTATTCAACCATATTCTTAAGATAAAAATTACATTGATTCAGTAAGATAAGATTGGTAACAAGATAAATCGATCCTCTCATATTACAAATCCTAAACTTAACAAACACTTGATTAAAAATAAATATAACATGTTATCCTATCATATCTATCCTTATCCTAATTGACTATCAAATAGACCTTAAGAGGTTGTTTGGAAATGAGAGTTTTGAAGGGGAGGGAAGAGGAAAACAAAATTTATATTTTAAATTAATATTTTTAAAATATAAATATAAATTAATATATTAATAAAAACTTAATGTATTTATCATCATAAATAATAAATAATATATAATTTTTAATTTAAAATTAAAAAATATATCTTTCTTTCCTTTTTCCTCTAAAAAATTTCTTCCAAATATTATATATATATATTATGAGAACACTTAACTATTGTGAGAAATAAGAAAATTCAATCATATTTGTTATATTAAATTTAACCATTCAAATTGATTATTAAAACTAAAAGCTCATGTGATGTCCTATTTTCTTTCATGCATTTTGTTATTCATAATGTTTTACCTCTCATTTTTTTTAAATAATTGGAGTGCCTTTTTTCTTCTATAATATCACACGACTTGTTGCATACTCTAAGAACAATAGTTTCTTCAAATATTAGAATGTTAAACTATGAGTAAAGGTAAGTTATCACACTATTACTTCAGAATGACGGCAAAAATTAATCAAATCGCAACGTTATTAATTTAATAGTGCTTCTTTCTAACTTCACGGTGCTAGACTGGTAGAATACTGATTAAGAAGGATAACATTCTGATTAAGAAATTTAGATAAAAATAAATACACAATTAAAAAGATAATAGCCATTTTTTCTTAAATTTCTAAATAGAAAAATGAATATTTTTTTCTTTTAAAAGTAGAGAGATAAAAGAAAATGGAAAGAGTATTACTTTTTTCTATTGCATTTTTATTTTATGATAACTGAGGTATTATCTTTTTGTTGTCCACTATTATATTATAAATTTCCGTCTTTTTTTTAATGAAAGTATTTTTTTAAGAATTATTTTCATACTTATTAAATTATGTGCATATTAAGAAATTAATTTAATTTTTTATTCAATAAATTTTATTCATTTCAAACTTTATTTAATTTTCATTTTAATTTGATTTAAATTGCAAATCTTAATACATTGCCATATTAAATATTTCTTTCTTTTTTCAATAAACTAAAATTTTAATATTATTGTAACTTTAATGAATATTAATTTAAAATATTTTTAAGATTTTGATATACTATATATATCAATAACGATTATATGTCTTAATTTTAACAATTTATTTCATAATATTTTCTTTACTTTTAAAATTTTATTCTCTTTAATTTATTGTTATTTAATACAGTAAAATAATTATCATTTATAAGTTATTTTTATTTAAATTTAAATATCCCTAAAATGTACGAATAATTTGGTTGCTATAATTTAAAATTGTAACAAAAAAAGAGAAACACTAACTTTATGAAAAATTCAAACATGAATATTTTGCAAACGAGAAAGTTTATATAAAATCTAGAATTCCTATGTCAGTTCCTAAAAACAAGAAAGATTGTAATGAAATTGGAACTCATTATAGTTATACAATACAATATGACAACTGCACATAGCCATATACTGATAAACTATTTATAAAATTGTTTCTCTTTTTGAAATTCGTTGTAATAAATCGCCAATTGCCGCAATTTGGGACCTGAATGGGTGCTGGAGGCTACTGTTTGTTACATTGACGTTCACACGATTATTTGCACCTTACAATAATGCTTGTTATGTAAAGTTGAACGTGAAAAATGAACTTAAAAGATACTTCTTAACTCTTCAAACAACATGAATGTTCGTTCCATTTGCACTGAGTGGCAGCACACCTTTCTCAACCTTCAATGAATTCATGACATTTTTCAGACTTACTTATCAACAACGACAAGGAATTCGTATTTTTAATACCACTGCCCTTAAGTCAGTGTGAGGAGCCCTTTTACCTGAAAAAAAAAAAGTGTAAATATAAATTGTATAGTTATATATATTATTATGATTATAAAACTTTAGAAATCACATAACTGCATGATATTTTTACAATGCATATAATAAGATATTTTATAATACTCTTAATGAAAACAAGATAATCAAATGTATTTGTTAATTTTTATACCACAACTTTAAATGACTTTTTTTTAAAACCAAAGAAATATTGTATTATAATTAAATTGGAATACATTAATGTATATATTTTTTATACTATTATTTAACTATAAATTGTTGTAGCATTTTTTATATTAATAATGATAAATTAAAATTCAACTATCATAATATATCTATGTCGTGTTTCTTATCTTTTAAAAAAATTATATTATTATTTTTTTTCGACATTGTTTACTACTAATTTCTCCTGTGCAAGAGTGTGATTGTTAATTAATTTTTAGTTTCAATATATGTTTAGTTCTTATACATTATTTGATTTAGTGCATATAGTTTTATTGAATTTATGTTTTGGTCTCTCCATTATACTATACATTAGTGCAAATAATTTTACCTTGCTGGGCATGTACTTTGGCATATTGCTGGTAGCAGAGATCAAAACCAAAATTTTGAAATAAGGATAAGAAGTTCAACTTTTAAAATATAAGAATCAAAATCAAAATTGATTCAGGTTTAGTTTAGAGAAATATTTCAATAAATATAAACAAAAATTAGGAAGTAAAAAGAATAAAAAAATTCAATTTATGTTGGTCAATTTTTATTGGAAGCCATCTTATTTATTTTTTAAAATATAAAATGTATAAACTAATTTTAATTTATAAAGGAATTGTTTCTTTATTTCTGTTCTATGTGAAAATTTACCTAAATTAAGCCGAAAGGGATCCAAGTTTTTCTTTCTTGTTCATTTGAAGGTCCTATGATCCTCTAATTTCTTGCCAAAACCATTTGTCGAAAGCTCATTGAGAGAAATAATGAACATTTACAATTTAGCACATTGCTTAAACCAACTCTAGTTTTAAAGTTTTACAACGTGGTCATTTTTACCGATAGGCACAACAAGTACATAGTTAATTCTTTCTTAACAATATTGATGATCTATAAATTAACAAAGATATTTATATGATATTTTTATTATTATTATTATTTTCTTTACATCATAACATTCATTGTGAATTACTTCAAGTTTTTAAATTTCTTAGAGAAAGAAGTAACAGGGCAATAAAGATAACATAGCTGATTATGAAATACTTTTTAATGATATCACTTGTTTACACCTTTTGACAATTTACATATACACTGATGTCCTTTTCCAAGTTGCATATAAATTTTGATCAACACCTTTACAATATAAGCTAAGGTGCGTCGTATTAACCACCAACTTGCTTAATTCATCAGAAGTAGTTCTCATTTAATTTCTCAAGTGAATCCACAGGTGGAATTTCAGGACCTTGGGTATAATGGGGTAAAGCATCTATATGCTGAAGGATAATATGAGGGTTGCCTGCAACGACAAAGCTGGCCAGCTTTTTGGGGTCCATGGAATCCCATCAAACTCATTTTTTTATGGGGGGCTACAACTTACATTGACTAGTACAAATAAGAGAAGATTTTGGGTACCAAATAATAAACTTTGTCAACGGCTGCTTCTTTTTTCTTTTTCCTTTTTTTCTCACGTTTCGGTTCTGTAGAAGCTTTAATGATTTAAGTGGACTCTTTCTATTGTCTCAACAAGGGTGGTGATGAGTAGTGACCAACATTTTATAATGACAACCCCTTCCATGCTTTTCTAGCCTTCAACTCAAAGTGCTTTCCGAGCAATCATTTATCTCCCCCCTCTAAGGACATTCTGCTTTTATTTTAATGTCTGAATGAACTGGCAGCATCTTTGCTTCAATCTTAAGCTCCTTTTTAAGTGTCCTGCTTTTAATGTTTCACACTTTGTTAATATAATTCTATCAAGGGATATATATATCTTATTTCCTAAGGTTAATTAAAGCTTCCATAATGGGAAGACAACCTTGTTGTGATAAGGTTGGTTTGAAGAGAGGTCCTTGGACTATTGAAGAAGATCACAAGCTCATGAACTTCATCCTCAATAATGGCATTCATTGTTGGAGAATGGTTCCTAAACTAGCAGGTAGTAATTGATTTCTTAAAAACTTGTGTTCACATGCTATATAGTTTATTACTTGGCAATAAAGGGGTGTGTTTCTAACTTTGTGCATTTTGCATGCTGGTGAAGGTCTTCTAAGATGTGGAAAGAGCTGCAGACTGAGATGGATTAATTATCTGAGGCCAGACCTTAAAAGAGGTGGCTTCACAGAAATGGAAGAGGATCAAATTATACAACTACATTCATGTCTTGGAAACAGGTAAAACTTGCATTTCTGAATTGTCAACAGGTCAAAAATATAATATTTGAACAATATTGTGTTTGTGTGAAGGAACCTGTTATATCATCATGATGCTTGGATTGGTACTTCTAAATCATGATGCATAGTGTATGTTTTCCAAGAGTTAACACAATGAAGCACATTTTCAGGTGGTCTAAGATTGCTTCCCATTTTCCTGGGAGGACAGACAATGAAATCAAGAACCATTGGAACACACGAATCAAGAAGAGGCTGAAACTCCTTGGTCTTGACCCTCTTACCCACAAGCCAATTGGGCAAAAGGAACATGCTGATGAGGACACAAATAAGACCAACCCACAGCCAAATATTTCAGGAGGTTCTGAAGAAAATGTAAAGATTACATCCTTGGACAGTGATGGTACCATTGGAATGACAAAAACAGAAGGGAAAAGAGAAGAAAACAAGGGGACTTGTGATGATACCACAGAACTTCTAAACAATTTCGAAATGTTATGCTCACAGTTGAACTTGGGATCTTGGAAGAGCCAAGAAACCAACACTAGTACTAATTCTTTATGTAGTTCTTCTGTCTCTGTGGATGACACAAGCCACTTTTCTATGGATGAGTCCTCTTACCTTCAGGAAAGTTCCTTACAGCAATGGGTGGATAGTATGGATTCCATTCTCTCATGGGATGGCTTCAGTTCTCTGGACCAAGACATTTTCTTCATGTAAAATAAGGAATAAGCTTAAATTAACCACCTCTTATAAACTGCCCCCACTTTTACAATCTCTCAAGCAATAAAATGTTATAGAAGATCAATATAGAGTATATTAGTGTCACTTATATTCTTGCATTTTCTTGTTTTTGACAGCTTTGATGCCTAATGTGAAAATGATTCCATGTTGAATGCGAATTTGTGTTTATATGTAATTGGCTGTTCCTAAAATATATTGCTTGGATTGAGCTCTTCAACAACACCCTCCAGTCCCACCGCATGAGTGGGGCTAAAGGCTGCAGGGTTGATAAGATCGTCTCTTTTTCTTGTCTCCTCTGTAACTGTTGATTTGATCAAAGTAGTCACACTCATCATCATGATTTGTCCAATGTCTTTTTACGGGCTAATATTTAAAGGGGTTATTTATTGTATGTCCACGGTCGTATGTGGTAAAAGGATTAAATATCTTTTATCATATATTTTAACTTTAGAAAAATCATATAGGAATAATTTTGGTTTTTTAATATAATAAATAGTTTATAATATTATTTTATTTGTAAAAAATAATTATAAATAAAATAAATAGATCAAATATGTTTTAAATTTGTTAAGATGAAATATATATATATATATATATATATATATATATATTAACATTGAGTGTCAAATTTATACACTTATTCTAATTAATAACTTTTTATAAAATTTGATATCAGTAAATATAACTCTTAAGTTATATTGTATCATCTATTAAATTTTACATAATTTTAAAATTTATAAATATATAATTTAAAATTTAATCTTTTTTATATTTTAAAAATATATTATCTGTTAAAATACAATAATGTGATGAGGTATTTATTATTAATTTTATTCTCATATGAAAGTTTGTTGAGTTAATTTATTTATAAAACTTTTTAAATTAATAGTTAAATTAGTTAATATTTTATCCTATTAAAAAATTATTAAATAGGATAAGTTTTAAAGTTTACAGTGTATAATAATGATATGTAGTGCGGAAAGAAGCCATAGTAATATCATATATAAAGCTCCTCAAATAATTAAGGATGTCGGAACAAATCGATGAGTAGGTGCAACTTTAAGATGTACATTGGGCAGATTACTTTAGAAACAATTTCTTTAATTGATATTTGGATTTAGATGATTGCGAATGAGTCGTGCCAAGCACTGAAAATTATTGATTTAGAAGAAGCACACCTTTTAATTTATATGCATGAATCTGTGTGCAATCAAGTTATGGGAAATAACGAGGAACATGAGCTCCACGACGGAATAATGTTTCACATTGGATTTATACTATTGACAGGCACACCACTGTTCAATAGTCAACGGTTAAGCACACCCAAATATGAACGAACCAAGTCTTGCTTCCATAGTATGATGGTAGATGCCATGTATCCATTTTTGGAGACCTAAGAATAGTTTTTCAACTAAACACTTTAAAATGGAGCCAAAAGGTTTCAAGGGTGATTCCCTAATACAATAGCAAAGCTGAACACTCAAAGGTTGTGATGTAGAGAAATAAAAATTTAACTTTTTAATACATTTAACATTGTACGGTTAGAAGATGTATATAACAAATTTTTATTAAAAATTGTAACATTTAGTAGTATCAATTAATTTTATTGTATAATATTTTAATTTTTTTAATTAAAAATTACTATATATTATGTGTTATATTCTTTTTTGAGACATCTTTGAAATCTGGTGTTTTAGATATTTTTAAATTCAAATAACATAATGTTTTCTTTTTCTCTCTTTTTCTTTTTCTTATCGATATTGTTTTTGCTTGGCCTCTGAGATGAGATGGTGAGTACTTACAAATTGATAAAGGTATATTTAGGTTAATAAAGGTATCAAGCAGATAGTTCAAGAATTTTTTAAATTTGCTTACAAATCATGAGTTAAGAAAACTCACTGGGCCTACGAATAATTTATTGATTTTATTTAGGAATCCAATTAATATTTTTATCGTATTTTATTTTGAATTTCGATAATGATTCTTTTATAGTTTTAATTTGTAAATTGATTAGGATTTTTCAATAGTGCTTTTGAAAATATATTCAGGATTTTTTAAATAAATATTAACATTTATTAGTTTCTCATTTACATAGTTTTTTAATAGTAGTGATTGTACATGTATATATAATCAATTATGTAGATGCAACTGGCCAGAGTTAAAATTTTATCTAGAATTGTGATCAACATGTCCAACCACATTTGCAAATAAAATCTGTTAAAAACTCTTACTAGATTTCTAATAAAATTGGTGAAAATCCTGATAAAATATCATATCTTGGTAAATCTCTTTGCAAAATAACATTAAATATTTCTTTGACCTTCTTAACTCGTAATTTTGTATGTGGTCTCATAAGAAAAATTAAAGAAATTATTTGTTGGAACCTACATGACATCATCAAAGATGGACAAGTATCATGTATACCTCTATTGTGTGCATTGAATTTACTCATATGGTCCTTGTGATGTTAAGGATATTAGAAGATGAAAGGATTAAGAGCTCGTTTGGAGACTTTCAAAATCCACTCTATTAAAAAATCTCGAAACTTCAGGACACATTTCACTAGAATGAAAAGTTTGTGTTGGGAAAACTTCATTTTCTATAGCTATGCAATCAATGCAAAGTGCAGGCCTTAAATAATTTTATTGATATCCAAGTTCATAGAGGATAGGTACAATTGTTAAGTCTACAAAATTCCATTGCCTCGACAAGAATTTTCCATAACTCTAGCATTGATGATGGAAATGATTACAATGACTTGTCTAGTCCCGGTGGGAGGGATAGTCTTTGAATTCAAAGGCATGGTTGCAAGTTTTTTTTATTGATATTTTTTCTTATAAGTTGGTATGAAAAAATGATAAGATTATATTTTGTAGTGTTTTTATAGCTCATTTTCATTGAGCTTTACTTGACTGGGATTTGATATTGATTTTACTATGAATTATTGCAGTTTAGATGAAAAGATCACTAGCAAATTATAGAAATATTTTGGTCACAATTGGAGGTCACTTTCCCTTCCCCTTCCCTGTTGGACACCCCTCCCTCATCCCATCTAGGAATGTTTATCGAATCGGATAAACCAATAAACTCGATAATCTAAATCGATACAAACCAAAAAATATCCAAACTGACACTTAACGGGTCCAATTCAATTCAAACTGATCAAACCCAACATGGTTTGGTTCGGATAATAGATTGACATTGTGCCAACCCGTAGACCCAATGACATATCTCAGTAACCCGTTGACTTAAAAAAAACACACACCTTCACATGCAGTGAAGTGCATTGCGACTTTTCACTCAGTGCCACAAGTTAGGGTTTTATTTCACATTTCAGAACACAAAAATAGAACCTCCACGCTTCGTCTTCAACCTTATTTTCTGTTGTTATTCTGCTATAGCTCAACTTGCATTTCTCTCACTTCTGGATCTCAGATCTAAATCGAGGTGAGTGTGTGTGCAATTTTCTCTTTGCTTTTTTTATTTTGTGGGTTGAAGATGCATTCAAACATAATGGTTGTGCATTTCTAGTTTTGTTTGTATGCATAATCTACTTTGAAATCTGTTTATTCCAAAAAAAAAAAAAAGACAAAAAACACTAAAATCTAAATAGTTTATAATAAGTGTAAGAGATTTAGTCCTCTCATCCCTTAGGTCATTGATTAACTTTGATTTTCATGTGTAAATTATCTACCTTGTTTGTTTAGTTATGTTTAATTTTTTGTATTCTGTTAAAAAAATATTTATGTCTTTTGATTGTTTTTTATGAATGATAGGAATGTTGATTTTAAATACAAAACAATCATCAAAGGGAAATGCATCAATGGTATGTTCTAACTTTGAGGATTAATACGAGCTTCAGTCTAAGTGCAGTGCATTGTTAGATGCATGAATTACCTCAAAAAAAACTATCTTTGATTGAACATCACTAGATTTCACTTTATTTCACAATTAGGGGCACATATTATGTACTTATGAATTATGTTTATGATTCTGCAGCCCATAAATGGCAAATAACAGTGAAGTTGCTAAGAGTGTCCCAACTAATTCTAGTGGCATGGAACTACAGCAAGGTGGATCTCAAGGTCTAGAGACTCCATTGCAAGAAGCTCCATCACAAGGACTAGAGACTCCTACACAAGGACAATGGACTTCTACACAACAAGAGGATCCTACACAAACACAAGGATCCAAGGTATTGAAAAGAAAACCTAGGAGACCGCCATCCAATGCATGGGCACATTTCACTATACAAAATGATAGCGCCATTTGTAACTATTGTCAAAGGTCATATGCATCTAATAGTTCTAGCCATAGAACTACAAACTTGAATAAGCATGTTTTGTCTTGTTAAAAAAACCCAAATAGAATAGTGGATAAGAGGAAAAAAAAAACACTTGCACTTGGAAAGAAGGGTGAGAATGCCTCTACTGTTAATTTTAAACTTGTTGATTTTAATTAAGAGCGAACCCGGATAGCACTTGCTAGGATGATAATTATGCATGAGCAACCTTTTAAGGTTGTTGAGGTCTAGGATTTAGAGAATTTATGCTTAAGATTCAACCGAGATTCAAAATTCTTTCTCGACAAACTATTGCTAGAGATTGCATGCTACTGTTTGAATCGGAAAAAGAGAAGTTCAAAGTTATATTGTCTAAGAATGATCAAATGGTTTCACTTACCACTAATTGTTGGACTTTAATTCAAAACATGAATTATATTTGTGTGACTACTCATTATATTGATGCTGGATGGGAATTGAACAAAAAGATATTAAGCTTTGGGTTGATTATTGACCACAAAGGTGACACCATAGGTAAACACCTAGAGAAATGCTTGAAAGATTGGAGAATTTCAAAGATTTATTGTGTAACTTTGATAATGCAAGTGCTAACAACTTGGCTATTTCATATTTAATTAGGAGCATGAGTGATTTGAATGATAGAACTTTATTAAATAGAGAGTACATGTATATG